ATCAAAAAAATTAATCCTCTGAAAAAAACATTCAGAAGAAAATCAATCACATAGGTTGAATCAATTATAGACTGAAAGTTAAGAATATTACCCAAACAAGGTAAGGCTTTTGACTTTTTCAGCACAACACACATATGCCAAATGCCTGTCATATTTCTACTTTCTTATGAGGAAAAAAAGAATAAAATTCAATCTGAGTAAAGAGCTAGAGAAAATGTAACGGTTTATGATATCCAGAAGAGATGCTCAACATTTCATTCAATCCTTTCCCTCACTCGACAGTCAATCTCAGTATGCAGCGATGTCCACAACAAAACCGTCATCGACTCCCAACAAAAGTAAGATCTTACTGACACCAACGGCAAAAAAAAAAAAGTACCATTGCTATATAACCAGTGGAGCAGAAATTTTTCTGTTGTAGAAACAGATGAGAACAAAGTGTTCTTCCAAAATCAAGAAACAAGGCTACCTGCTGCTTTTATTTTTCATTGAAAGAAAAAAGTATTGCCGCCAAGTGTTGAACCATGAAATTGCCCAGTTTTAGTAACAAGCACAACAGGCAGAAACTTATCTTTTATTTAACCAACTGCAAACCTTGCTGCACTGCAAAATCTGGAGCAGATCAAGCCATTTTCATATGAAGCAAAAAGAGTCAACATCAATAACTATGTACGTACATATTGCCAACTGTACTGCTTAAACACAGATGACTACCTCAGGCAGACAAAAAAGAAGCTTAAACAACAGATGTCCAGAAATCATTTTAGGACAGCCTGGTGCAAACAGGATGAGTCATATTTGAACAGGAAGTTAACAGAGACATCGCTGACATACCATGTAACCTGGGCCAGCATCAAGGCCTGTTATGGTTCTGAGATAATTTTGCTGACGGGATAGAATCACTTTTGTAAATTTTATTTTTTGTTAAATATTATTTAGAGGAGAAATGCGTAGGGCTGCTGGTCTAATCATTCAGGGAAAGATACTCTGTATTACTGTTCTGACTGCCCACTTTTCTAATGAGCGTTAACACTGAAACACAGTATAAGAAAATTCCTTGTACCTTATACCTATACTCACCCAAAGAGCACTCGGAACAAGATCAATGCATTACACCATGCTGGTTTGCATACTTCAAATAAAACAGTGTGTAAGCTTTTAAAACATGAAATTCTTTTATTAAAAAAAAAAAAAACACACACACACTTGTCCTGTTTTCTGTGTACTCAGACATCATTATAACTTTCCATATGAGTAACTAAGACGACCCAATCTGAAAAACACTGCTGTGTGTTAGGCTCATACGATTCACAAATCATCGTACCTAGAACAGTCAACAAACTGCCGGCTCTACAAGTTTGCCAAGAGACTCTTTCGCTATTACAATCTTGGTCAAAGGATCTCATAGTAAGTTACTGGTCCAAATCACCTACACTATATTTCTTCCTACTAGTATTTTAAAAAATGCTGACTGCTACAATGAGGCCCAGGGTACACGATTTTTTTTCATCCTAAAATTAGTCCTCTTGCTGCTCAGGCTTTTATCAGGGAGGATTACTCTGTTAGTTCAATGATCAATATCAAGGAGTTCAAGTTCTATAATTTAGATCTTGTACTTTCCATACACTGGTCGTTTACTACCTCTCCCAAAAAAGGCTTACAAATCTAAATACGCAAGAACATAAAGCTCAGATTTTTAAGTGATAGTTTGGAATACTGGAGGGAAAAAGGAAGGAGGGAAAAAAAAATTAAGATTGTTTCAAACTCAACTAAAACTTTCTAAGACACATTCAGAACTCCGGAAACCACAGCGGCACATGGAGATCAAAGTAAGGGAAACAGAAAACCGGAGGTCAGACATTTGCCTGGACACTGTCCAAGACCATGGCAGAGTCTAAGATATATAAATATCCTGAACTGGAGAAAAATTGTTTTTTAAACTACTCAGTGATCTGAGGCAGCAGTGGCTAATCTTCCTGACTCTATGAGTCATGTGCCAAAATCTTCATACAGGAGATATCCACGGGACCTGTATTGCATCTTCTGGAGAGCCCAAGGTCCAGGGAGAAGTACAACAGTTCACAGATGGGAGCAGACACAGCTTCCAAGATAACCAGCAGGCTGAGCTGCTGGTTTCTCCCTGATCAAAGAGCACTTCAGATGATCAGCACCCTTTCTGTCAGCACAGCCTTGGTAATACAAGACTCGGCACGGCCCTACGCTCAAGCTTTTCAAATGCTGCATGATGGTCAATCAAATTTCTGTTCCAGAGATTTAGTCATAAAACATACCTTCACACTCAGCCTGGCAGTTTCTTTACAGTCAGCAACTCTAAGGAAAAATTCTGTAGATAACTTGTAAAAGTTAGAATTCCTGGACTCTCCGCAACCCCTCCTGTCTCCAAGTGGCATTTCCTCACACTCCAGTATATCCAACCCATTTGTCTAGTCACTTGCAAAAGGCCATTAGTATTCTCAGAATTAGTCATCTGAGTAATTCACTTAAAGGAGAAGAGAATTCATGTCCATGTACGGTTTCTGAGGATACTGCATTTGTCTCTGGTCTCAAAACTTCTTTAACGGCAAATACCAGTTAAAGCTAGAAGCAAAATCAAAACAAGTCCTCAAACCAAAATCTTTTAGAACACAAGCTTCTCCTGAGAACAAATATTTATTTCCTTACTGATGCCTAGTTTCTTAGGTTTAATCACAGGTTCACTTCAGCTTAGGTGTCGTTTATTTTAGGAACAAAACTGAAAAACTTATCAGTTGTCAGTTACTCTCATACACATTTACTGTTCAAACCCATTTTATAAATGAACTTGGGTAGTGTTACAAAGCCAAACAGAAATAAACTCGTGTGTGTGTGCTTCTGCAAAAGAAAGTATGCACAGTGTATCAAGTTTCACAATCACTGTTGTGCAAATTAGGTGGATGCAAAAGAAGACCAAACACGTATCACTAGGTAAATGATTACAAATAATCCATATCGTTATTGCTCTTAAAAAAACAGAAAAACAAAAACCAAACACCCTTCTTACATATTCATTTCTACATAGAGAATCACCGATGCTATGTTTCATACCTAAAAGCACCTTCCACACCAGTATACGATACATAGATGGGAGAGGAAATCTTTGACTAAACGTGCAAAGCTTCTCAATATCTGTAGAGAAATAAAAGAAAACAAATAAAACCTTAAAGTAAATTTGAAATATTGTTATCAATAGCTGTTAGACTCTGATTCACAAGTATGAAAAATCCTTATCTGTAGAGAGACATTTCCACTCTGATCATATATTATCAAAAAATGCCTTTACTATTTCAGTTCAAAACAGAATGTGCCATATAAACTGCAACAGTATTTCTTTTGAAAAATCATTTTTATCTGGCTTGATTTACAATAACACTATAGCTATCCTATATGCTCTCTCTCATTCTTTATGCCTTCTTGGCATAAAGAACAAGAGAAGAAAAAAAGAAACAAACAAGCAGATAGATATAAAATACTTTTTCAGAAAATCAGATTCTCAGATCTTTCAAACTCAAAAGATTGACTAAGCTAAAAAATCTTATGGGTGTGACAAGCAGGATTAACTAAGAAACTAGTGGTAAAAATGTGTGAAACTTTAATGAGCACAGCAGCTACATACTATTTATTATTTCCAAAAAAGGGAAAACAAAACATGAAAATAATACAGGAAACAATAAAATCAACTTGCCTAAACGATCATCTTTTAACAGAATTTCCAGTGACTTCTTTTCTTCAACTCCACGAAATCCCACTTTTTCATAATACACTGACCGGAAGTTTCTCTGAGAGTCATCAGCCATGATCGACTCCTCTTGAGGAACTAGTAACTCCCTATAGGAGTTACAAGAATATATTCGTATTATATTGAAGTCAAGTACTTTTGCACACTAGTAAGAGTTGATTCCTTATGTCTCTATGGTATTAATAAAACCTACAGATTTTGAAAAGATTTTTTGTTAACATATACAACCATAAAAATAAAGAATTGGAACTAAAGAAGGTGTAAAGATACCAGATTTCCAAACAAAATATAGGATTTTTTTCTTCCTGTGGTATATTACACTCCCTTAAAAAAATGTCAAAAATGCTGGAGAGACACTTGGTGTTTTATATGAGGTCATATATTTCACAAACAATATAAAGAACCTTGCAGTTAAGAATCTGAGAAAATTCTGGCTGCAGCAACCCTAGTGAAGTACAACTGTTAACCAGACACACAAAGTCATCAGATTTCACACTCACCAGGCAAGTTAACCACAGGAAAGGGGAAGCCAGTGTTGGCCTTAGTCGCACAGAGGTGACAGGAAAGAATAAGGCTAGGTATGCAGTTTCCTTCTTAGGCTGCAGACTTGAACTAAACGCTCATGCCATTATCACATGCCACGTTAGCCACAGTCTTGAGCTTGTCATTCTAGTATTAAAAAATAAAAACATCTCACCCCTGTGCCGGAAACAACAGTAAACCACAGTAAGAACTTTGTGTTTCATAACAGACCATTTCCATTTCAGTTCAGTTCAACCTTCTAAATACCAGTTCTCTCATTCTCTGCAGGCTTGCAAATATGAGAAAGTTCTACTTTGTAACTCAAAGTGCTAAAAACAATCTTAATGATAAAAGTGATAGAGGCAAAACATGGGGGAAAATATTTTGTGCATTTTGGGTGAAAAAGCAATCATGCACCAGAAAACTTTTCTAGTGAAATTATTCTATTCCTTGCTGAACCAAACCACAAACGGGAACAAAGCATTTGCAGATATAAATAAAGGCCACAATTTTTCAAAGAACACGCATACTCAACTTTGCGCGTGCACTAGGCCCATCTGTGTTTCAAATTAAGTCCATTTTCAGGGCTTGGTAGGATCAGGGCCAAGACCAGCCAGAAAAATACACAGCAACAAAGGGCTGAACAAGTACTAACTTAAAACCAAGAAAAAAATATATATTTATATTACTTGTAAAGGTTCCACTTACGCTTCATACTTATGAAAATGACTGCGATAAATACATATATCATGCATTTAAGGGTCCAGCTATCATGGTGTTCGTTATTAAGTTATATTGCAGCAACGCCTCTAAGCAGAACTCAGACGCTGCAGACATTCAACTGCCCTGAAATAGTTAAAACTGTTTAAATCTGAATTTAATAGGCACTGGTTAGACAGCGTTTAGCCTCTGCTGTTCGGGGAAAGAAAGCTGACAGCGGAGTTACAGAACACAGACCAAAAAAAACAGCATTTGAAAAACAGAAGTATAAAATATGACAAAGGAATGCTATTTTAATAATTTTACACTATATGAGCATTGCATTTGATTTATTGAATGGTGAAAAGGCATGAAAACTGCTTCCTCTCTCTCCAAAATCAGAAATGCATTTTCTTGTCAGGCACTATGCCTGACATGTTTACACATCTTGTCCACAAACGAGAAAAAGGAAGGGAAAAAGACCATTACAGGCACGCTGGATAAACGAGCGAAGTTAACTCCTTCTACCTGCAGAAGTATGTTCAACCTTAAGAGCACTTTCCATCGTGTCCCTCAAGGCCACGCCAGGCGACCGTACCCACCACAGGGAAAGGAGAATATTTAACAAAAGAGACGGACACCATGACCCTTCCTCCCTTTTTTTTTTTTTTTTTCTTAAAGCTGAGCGTACCTTGACCTAGTGAAGTTTGCTTGAGACATTTACCATGCAGCGTCAGCCCAGGCATAGTTTATTTCACCTTAGTTTCAGATTAAAGTTACTCTGCAGGTATACGCGCGTGTCTATTCAGTGAGAAATACAGAGATCTAAAAAAAGGAAATCTTCACACAATCATTAAAAACCCAGAAATGGCTAGCCTGAGATGACATTCAAGGATGAAGCGAGAGAATTAGAAGTTGACTATGGAGTGAATGACATAATCTCTCTCAAAACATCTCTAAGTACTGGGTATATTTGTGGATTCATTCAGGATGAAATATAAGCTAGTCAAACAAGAATTTGTGCAATCAGTCACACTCTTAAGAGGCAAGAGTAAGCTCTTCTGGATCAAAAAGCCAGTTTAATATTATTTCAGCAGGTTTTGCTGCCGAGCTGCCCCGTCAGAGCGGTGCGGGCGGCTGCCGCCTTTGCCGCCCTCCCTCGCACGCGTCCGCTCGGTCCGTCAGACACAGCTGGCTTAAATCCCTCCCCCCCCTCGGATTAAACCTGTGTCAGGCTGCTTCTGGGCCCTGAGAGCTGGTGCTACGTTCCTGCTCTGGGCTTCAGGTGCGCCCAGAGCTACACCCAGAGAGAAAAGAGCAGCATCTTTGGGATATCCCTCCCAAGGTGACCTGTGAGGTTTGGGAATTTCGACAGAAGAACAGACTGTGCCCCCCGTACGGAAATCACGCGGAGCAGTGATCCCCAAATGACAGTGCCGTGCAAGACCAGCATGGAACTGTTCAAAGCAGTCACCCCCAAACAGCAGTGCTATGCAAGACCACTCGATATTGTTCATTGATAGAGGAAAAAGCTAAAACCGAGGCCGAGAAAAGTAGGAAAGAATCATGCTGCCCCCACTGTATTATTTACTATTATTAGTATTATGCACAGCATTACTGCCCATCCGTTGCACCGGCTGGAACCATTTTTTTAGAATAATCTCTGGAAAGCCAAGTGGGTTTTCCTGAAAGCCAGATTTACTCTGGCATATGTGAGCAAGATGCTTGAAGCTAAAATTGCCGTCTCTTGAAACAAATGAAGGGCCCAGATCTCACTGTTGCAAGGCCAAGCACTCAAAAATCTCACTGTGCTGCCAAAATCATGGCATGTCAAGCTAACAACATATTTTCACTTGTTTTTCTTGTTCTGAGCTTTGAGAACTTGCCAGCATTAAACTGTACGATGACAAGGGCCCGGCAGCTTCTTTCTGCAGGAGCTGAGTTTTCAGCTCATCGCGCCTTTCCAGGAACAGAACAAGACCGTCAACACCTGAATTAGCAACACTGAAAATTCAAAATACTAGCGCCCCCCCTCATGTTAGCTTCTTAAATTCGTGTTAAGTGGCCTATTTTCAAAACGACAGCAACCCTCTTTTTTGTAAGCTCAACAAACTTTTTAAAAGACGAGAGGAAAGCACGCTGTTGCAGAACGGACACGCTTTTGCTGTGGCCCCAGTTCACAGGCGATTATTTTTGATGAGTCAGTACTGGGCCTAGCAAGTGTGTTTCTTGAAGTAATTCTGTACAGCAGCAGAGGGCAGACTGGTGCCATTTTTGTAATTTTTGTCTCTTTTCATGTCAAATGCGTCTTTGATCAATAGATGGCACTTGTCTACATAAGAGATCTGTTTGGTACTGTTAGGAGCTAACTATATTCAGAAAACAGCTACTGAAGTTTAATCAAATCGCTGTCATTTTTTCTTATTTATACTAGGCCTTGTGGGTATGTATTACAAAACTATAGTTGTGTTCTAAAAAAAGGTGAGGCTAACGTAATTTATATTAGTGTCAATTTATTGTACAGCAGATAAATTTTTTAGGCAGTTTAGCTAGCAGACACTGTGCTGTGGATTTGCAATATGTTAACATTGTTAATTTTGCCATTGCTGCAAGCTCCTAATCAAAATTGGAGTCTGAAAGATTTACTTGCATTAAAATACAGCATAAAAACAATTCCTTCCCTTGAAAAAATTAAAATTAATACATCCCCCTAGTAAAGTCTCTAAACCCCACATACAGAAAGCTTCTCAGTCATGTCACTCATACACACAGATTTCCTTAATGGTGTCTGTGAACAGTTTCAAATACAGATAATAGGTTCTAGTGGGCTCTCAAACCGTACCAGTAGTAAATATGAGTATCCTGATTATATTTAGGCCACCAGGAAATGAATTAAAGCATTTAATTCAGGAAGTTTTACAATATAAAATGAAAGCATAGGCTTAGCATGAAATGATAATCACTACAATTATTATTATTTGGTCACACTGGATCCACATATGCAGTGAAAAAAAGTTGTCTAACCTAAATTTTTTAAAAGACAGCCCTATACCGAGTTGGCCATTCTTGCTTTAACAGCAGCCTCATTTCTTCATAACTGCCCTTTACAGCTACCTATATTGAAAATGGCTAAGTGACTGTACATGATGTAAATCAGTGTTGCAAAGCACACGGGTGATTGCATTATTTAAATCAACATATTAAATTGCCTGCATTTTCATGAACCAAATAATCTTCCTCTTTACCTTTGTTTGTGGATATGAAGTATCTTCATTAATATCGATGGAGCCTATTGCTGTTGTATATGGAAGCAGAATTTCATCATGAATACCTGCAGGGGTCAACCAGCCAAGTGGAGAGCTCTGTTTACGATAAAATTGATGAATACATCATTAATCAATAGTATCTTCTTAGGCATCTGTTCAAACCGTGGTAGCCTTAATGCTGACATGCTTAAAGTCCGATAACAACATCAGAAAGGGTGGCACAGCTGCAAAACAAAAGGGGAATAGGTTTGGAGTTTGGAATTGTCCCACATAGCAGAACCAAAATAATTAGTATCCTGCTACCATATTGCAGCTCTTTTTTTTTTTTAAACTGTTTCTTTTGAGTATGGGTATGTTTGTATTTTGTAGTCAAATGTTCATATTGCTGAACTGAATTTCTCACTGACACACAAAGTCACATGAGAAGGAAGCCAAACAGACATCACTAATTTTTTTTTCTTTGCAAAATATGAACTGCATTGTGTCGGTGGTTCTTCATGATAAGCCTTGCTTTTGCTATTAAAGCTGGAAAAATTTTGTGGGAGCGATGTCCTACTAAATAGCTCTTGGAAAGTGATCTAACAGTGGAATTACAAGAGATTGTTGGAATAAAATATGAAGCAGTGGAATAAGGATTCATTTTGCACAGCGTGATGTCCATATGTGCATGGCTTTATAATGCATGTTGTAACATACGAACAGTACAGTTCTCAGGTGGGTTCCATCTGCCCTGAACTGACTGGAGTTGCGCTTTTCCATTTTTTTTTAAACACTTGTCTGATAATATCCCTACAGTGTATCAGAACTAGTATCTACTATCAGCCACCCTGCTTCCCATTGCTATGGGAAATGATTAATATTCAGGAAAAGAGTTGTAAGTTTTGTCATTTCAACTTTTCTGCAGATGTGATCTCCTGTTTCTTTAGAGGCATGAACAGTTCCAGGTTGTGAGTACGAGTGTGTCAATGGAAATGGCAATTTATTTGTACGTTCACATAATCTTTTCATTATGAACATTGGCAGAACTAGAAACGTTTGGTCTCATTTCCTGGCAACATCGTGGCAAAAACAGCATCATTCTGCTGTTTACAATCTAGCTGCAAGAAGAATGCAAATGTTGGAGTTATGAATGTTCACAACTTAATCCTTTGCTAAAGTAAGATGAAAAAAACAACACTCTAGGGTAACAGAAATATCATAAAACTCTTTGGTAGCA